CGGCTCCGCTCAATCAACAAGCGAAAACTGTAACGATCCCAAGACTGGAACTATTAGCACTCCTAATTGGAATTCGCTTAGCAAACTTTGTATTGAAGGAAGTCCGTCTAACTCTAAAAGAAATTTACGTTTTTAGCGATTCCCAAGTAGTTCTTAGCTGGGTTCAATCGAAAACAAAAATGGGGACCTTTGTCGACAACCGCTGTCAAGAGATCCGAAAAAAAATGCAGGAGTGGACAGACAATGGCATCCTTTGTCATTTGCTTTACATACCATCTGAATTGAATCCTGCAGACTGCGCGACAAAAGGCCTAACTAGAGAACAACTGAAGAATCACATCTGGTGGACAGGCCCACCTTTTCTACTCAAACCCAGGTCCCAATGGCCCGATCTACCAGAATTCTCGTGTAAAATAGAAGAAAACACACAAAACTCCAGTGCCGAAAGTAACCTTACCGTTCTAACCATGAAATCCGCCAAAGAGCAACAATCTCCGATATTATTTGGAAGCAAGTTCTCGTCAGTCAGAAAATTAAAAAGAACCTGACCCTAGTTTTAAAATTTCTCAAAAGTGCTATGTATAACAAAATTTCAATAAAAAATAAAGAAATACTCAAGAATGCTCTACCTGAAATCGCTTACATGACATAGAGTCGGCCTTTGACATCAATACAGTCCCTTGACCTATCACAAGCTGAAAAGCTCATGATACGGTACGCACAAAAGACCATACGAACGCAAAGGTCCACGAAACTACATAATTTACAATTATATACAGATCCAAACGGTATTATTAGATGCCGAGGAAGAATTCAGGCTAAACACTTAGCTAACGAAACCCGAGAACCAATACTTCTTCCAGAAGATCACCATCTCACTGCTCTACTCATTGAGGACATCCATCGTCGATGCGGACACCAGAGTGTCAATGGAACTTTGGCAGATCTTCGATTGAACTACTGGATCCCAAAAGGAAGACAACAGGTGAAGAAATGCTTGAGAGCATGCTTAACTTGTAAAGAATGGAATTCTAAGCCATATTTCTACCCGAATTCTCCCCCACTACCGCAATCACGAACACAACCATCGAGACCCTTTTTGCATGTCGGCATCGATCTCGCCGGCCCCTTTCAAGTGATCGTAGGAGAGAACGCCGAACAAAAGAAATGGATACTGCTTCTCACCTGCATGGTAACGAGAGCAGTACATTTAGAAATAGTGAATAACCTAAGTGCGGTAGAATTTCTTAATGGCTTGCGCCGTTTTGTAGCGAGGAGAGGAAAACCAGCCCTTATAATCTCGGATAATGCAACTAATTTTACTTCAGGATACGAAATTCTTAAAGCTTCAAGCGATGAACTCGAAGCATCAAAGCAACACATTCAAAATTCCCTCTCCAAGGAAGGAATAAAATGGAAGTTCATCACACCACTTTCCCCCCGGAAAGGAGGTTTCTACGAACGCATTATAGGAATAATGAAATCAACTCTCAAAAAGATATCAAGACGCAAGGCAATACATGAATACGAGTCCGCTACAGTGGTACCAGAATGCGAAGCCATGGTTAATACAAGACCACTCACTTACTCCGGTAGCACAGTAAACGATTCAATCGTTCTTCGACCTATATTCCCTACGCGAACGTTAATCTTTTACCCTCTGCAGAAACCGACCCAAAGGATCCTGACTACTGTCCTTTCATCTCGTCGCGAGTGGGAGCAACTCAACTCCTTCAGAGACATACCCAATATTTAAACAACTTGTGGAAGTTCTGGACGGTCAACTACTTATTAGAACTGCGCAGCTTCCATCAAACGCGCATAAAGCAAAAGTGTTCCACAAGAAAGCAGCCGCACGTCGGCGAAGTCGTGCTCATCATGGAAGAACACACTCCACGCGGCGAATGGCCCCTAGGATTGGTCACAAAGTTAATACAAGATCGAGACGGTCACGTTCGTTCTGTTGACCTCAAAAAAGCAAAATCCAACATAACGAAATCAATAAACCTACTCATCCCATTAGAAGTAGAAGATAATCAATGCAATAATAACGACAAAGAATCAATGGATACGCCACAAGCATGCGCAAACAGCAGTAAAAAACATTGCGAGACTAGCGCCCCGCAAAGCAACAATATGACCAATATGACCAATCGAACTAGACCGTGGCTACTACAGCGCGTAAAAGAACAAAATAGCTATCGCATGAACACCATCCAGTTACAAGACAACTCCGCACACGCGAGTCGCTCAAGTTTAAATTG